GATGTTGCTATTCCAGGAATTTGGTTAATTATGAAATATTTAGTTTATGCTTCTTCGCAACTTTTAAACATTCAGTACCATTAACATTAATGAATTCGATACACTTTATAATTTCAATACATTTATTTTCGAAATTTTTTAAAATAAATAACACATTAAAATAAAAGTTATTCTAATATTGTATATTATAATTAAAAAAGATGCTTGATTAAAAATTGCCTATTACATTTGAATAAGTTCTCCCTTTGGCGTGTTGTGAAGTTAGGAGAAGGGGTAGGAACTGGAAAACATTTGCTCCCACCCCTGTAAAGTCAGGTTTTGAGTCCCCAAGTTGGATCTTACATGGAGTAGGTACAAGGCGGCAATCAGGCTTTGAGCCCCCTCCCTCCCCCGCAATGCGGGGGAGTACATTACGCCCAGTAGCGTAACGGAGAATATTAGTGCCCCCCTGCAAAGTCAGGTTTCGGGTCCCAAGCTGGATCATACGTACTTAGTGTCAGTCACAATTTGGGCCCCTGCAAAGGGGGGGGGGGTACGTTACGCCACTGAGCCCTGGTATCATCCTTGTCACTTGAACGTGGTTCAGAATTACTAATCAGTTCCCAACAGCTATCGTGTTGCTTCAAAATAAGACATAAATAAAAATCAATCAATTAATACATCCAAAGTATTATAGGCATCTTAAATTTAACATAAAATTTCTTCCTTAAAATTATTTCTAAATAATTTTTATCTATTTCTCACTTAATATTACTGCTTATTAATTATTACTTATTGCTTACATGAGGAATTGCCATTTTATACTCTAATAAAATTAAAATAAATAAAAATAGTTAGCTATTTGATTTGCAAAAATTTCTGAATAATTCCTTTGATTTTAAGTTACTTCATGACTCACTAGAAATGTAATATCTTTCATATTTTAATGATTTAAATTATAATTATTGATTGAATCTTTATTTCGATAATTTTTAATTAAATAAATATTTTATGGATTTAGGTTATTTTATCTATTACTAAAAAGAAGTAATACACTATTTTATGAAGATATATCCTAGCTTAAATGTATTTTGAAAGTAATTTACTAAACATTTCAAAATAAAATTTCAAACTCATATAATAACGCTACTGCTTTTGCATTTAAAGTCAAAACATTTCGGCCACTCGATATGCTGCCCGCGTTCAAGCTATTATTAGGCTATTATTAGAGCTCGAAATCTTAACCTAAAAAATGTAGTTTAAGCATAATTAAAATTCACAATGTTAAAACATTCAAGTAAAAAAAACAAAAAACGAAAATGTGCAATATTTTATACTTCTCTGATTTATGACCATCCATTTTTTTTCTTTAGAAAATATTCTTTTGCGAAGTTAGTGGTGGGCATCCATACAAAACTTATGAAGTTATTTCAAGTGTTTTATACAGTTTTAGTCCTAAAAATTGAATGTTTTCTAAAAATAAAAATTACTACAAAGATTTAATTTCCATTATATTAAATAACGATTCAATTCGAACTCACTTTTCTAAATCATGATAGAATTGTAGGAATATTAGAATAACTATAAGTTGTAGAGTATTCGATTCCTCTATACTTTTCCCGTTCAAATTAATAATAAAATATTCTAGAAATTTTTAGATCTATAAAAATAAATAATTTAAGTCGAAATTAGACACGTTTCAAGCTTATCTTCGCTTTCTTTTTCTTATTTCGCATTACTCTCTTTATTTTTTTTTTCTTTAGTAAGATTTAACTTCATGTCCGATGTTAAAAATTATAAGCCAAAAGTAACCACATAAAACTTATCTCCTAATAAAAATTAAGTTATGTCAGGTTTTTTTTCCGTCTGTATTTTAGTGTACGTAGCAAATGCTGGAATAATTTTTATTAGCTTTTGAAATAACTACGTAGAACACAGGCATTATCAGCAAAATGTTACAAAACATTAATAATTTTTTTTCAATAAAACTTATATTTGATAAGTATTGGTTTTAAAAATTTATTCAGTATATGAACCGTTTTCTTTGAAAGTGTTGTAAGTCCATTTTTGACAAAAAGTTAGTTAATTATAATATTGAAAGCAACCTGCTATGAGAGCTTTTTATCCATGAATAATTCCCCCAAAAATACTTCGAAATTTTCACCATTTTGTCAATATAAATTTACGTAGCTAATGAAATCACAAATATAATTACTTTGAAAGTGATGAATATCTCCATGTAATATAAAATGGATTTGCCCCACTTTTAAAGAAAACGGCTCTTGTGTATAAAATTAGCATGAAACTCTTAGGAGCATTTATACCAGTATATACACTAATAATAATTACAAAAAAAAATGTTTTTTTTTAAAATTATATTCATAATTTTATTTAGTCATAATTGATAGTAGTATTAACAATAATCAAAAATAAATGAATTTTTAAAGGGAATTTTAAATTTTATTTAGTTTTAATCTAGAATAATATTAACAATTCATACATGCATAATTTATTCCAAAGTAGACTTAGTTTGACATCTTAATCTTGCATAAATCTTCGTTCTAAAACCATATAACAAAAGTGACCTTCAAATGCATCTACAGGAGTTACGTAGGCTGTCATTATATATCATACCTGTAAAAGTCACTATTTCAATATAATCTTGATAAGTTTTATGTTATAAAAAGATTTCAGTTAATATAATCTCAAGTAGACCTTCAAGGTAAAATAAAAACTTATTTAATAAGTAGAAAATCTACAACAATCAATTAAAGGAAAATAAATGATAAAATAAATTATTCTAACAAAGATCACCGCCCACTCTTCGACAAAAGACCAATTATATGCATTAATTTACTGCTCAAGAATATATTAAAAACGCATCACTCAAGGTTAGTAATATTTTTTATTCTCGATTTCACTTATTCTACATTATTTTTCCAAAATGTCAAGGATAAATTGCGTTTAATCTTGGTATATCACTAACAATTACTTTAAATTTAATAGAGCATGTGTTAAGTTTTTTTTTAATATCAAAAACAGAAATTCTGACCATAAAAGGTGACCCCAAAATAAATTCGTTTTTAAAATACAGTGAAAATCGCTTAACACAAAACTGCGAGGACTGAAATATTTTTTCGTGTTAAAGGATATCGCAAAGAGAAACATATTTGACAAAATTAATGAAACAAAAACATTCACAAGAAATTAATGGAATTGAATACAAAATGTTCAAGGTTTTTGAAAAACAAAACTTTTATTGAGTTTTTCGAAAATTGATATTTTTCCTTGCATTGTCTTTTTTATCATTAAATTGTCAACAAATTGCTCGATGTTGTCCATTTTGTTATTCATTTCACCATTATAATGTGCGTCTAAATAACTGGTAATACTTTTCTCGATGTTTCTAATTTCGGATGACATGGGAACAAGAGTTGTATTATTCATTATTTCGTTTACGTCGTCAGAATCTACCTAACTGATTTTCCTTTTTTTTTCTTTCTTTCTTTTTTTTTCTGAGCATCGAGCCAACTCCAAAATGTCTTTGTTTGCCATAATTGAGGTTGTAAACGCATTTTATACGGCATGTAAAATATCCCTAGAGTGTCTGCTTAGCTTGGATGCTCTCGGCAAAATTAAACCCTAGTACAAGTTCACATGGTCAGAGCTCAGGCGCCTCCCTCTAGAGAGGAAACTGGGAGCCAAAATAACTTCCGGCGATTTGTATTTGTCTATATGGTGCCGCACTAAAAAGAGATACCAGATTCCATGGAATGTACTAAGTCTTCAATGGTAAAACACCACACACACACATTCCATTAGAAATAAAAAAAATAAAATAACTGCAACGAATTCTTTTGATGATACAGTAGGACAGTCCAATAATACAGAAACTTTCTTAAACTTCGGCTGGTATTTTCCGTATTTTGTTCATTCTCAGAAGGGAAATCTTTTCGTGTTAAGTGATTGTTTCGCATTAAAAAAAATGCACGGCAATACATAGTAATTTGGGGGCACCGTTGTATTATTTCGTGTTTACCGGTATTTCGTCTTAGCCGTTTTCGCGTTAAACGTATCTCATTGTAATGTAATTTTTCCATTGATTCTACAATAGTTATTTATTCATTCATAAAAAAGTGAAGCGAAATTGAAAATATTGGTATAAAAATTCTGATTTTCACCGTTTCTACTACTTAAAATTAACCTTAAGAAATAATTCCGTTAATCTTTTGAATGTTGATAAACGACAGATTACGTAAATTTAAGCATGATATTGAATCTTTCGGTTGCATAGCTTATACATTTGATCCAAATGCTGTTGTGTTAAATAAATAAAATTCTAACAAAATCAACTTTTAATAATTTTTAATAACGCATTGCTTAAAATTTAGAGAGTTTTAATTAAATTTTTAAATAATCAATTTATTTTTTAAAATTTTTATTCGAATAAAAATTTTAATTTGACTTAAAATTTTTCTTCTAATAAACTTAATCTTTAATTTTTTTTTTAAACAACTCAATAAATGTTTTATTTCTTGAATTTAAAATGAAGGGAACTTTTCACAAATGAAATTTTTTAAAGATTATTTACTTATGTAAAATTACACGAGGAAAAATAAAAGATATATAGTTTTCATATCATAAATATCAATAGAATTTGTTATTTTAATTGAAATCTTAATTGAAATTACTGGAAATTTTAAGTTTATTTCCAATCATATATACCATGAAGCGTAACGAAACAAGTAATTTAAAAAAAGTCAATTTTTACTTACGTTAACAAAGAAAATTTTCTTTTAGTTATATATTACTAGATAGTTACAATTAATATAAATATGACAGATTTACATTATTAATGGACAAAGTAGAAAGCGATTTTCCTTGCAATTTTCTACATTTTCCTTTCTATTTAGGGTGTTGGACTATTTTTTATTGTTTGTTACTATTTATTCATTCATCAAATTTAATTATTCTAATAAAAGAGTATGGTAAAAAAGAAATCACATTCTCAAAAATTAGGCCATCCCAAGTAGGATTCGAGCCTACGATCTTTGGATTAGAAGTCCAAAACGGTACCCATTGCGCTTCAAGTACACAACGAACGATTTTGCTTTCTTTATATGATAGACTATTATTTTTTCTTGTTACTGTTTATTCATTTTTTAATTTAATGAATTAACTAATATTTGAAAACACTGTATTAACATCAAGTGTCGTCCACTACAAATTTAAAAAGATGTATTTGAACTTCAATGGATGTGAATAGAAAGTGTTTTATTAATGATTAAAAATTTCAACAATATATATATATATATATAAAATAATGTTTAACAAATATTATACTACAAATAATACCTTGTATTTAAATATTTTTGCGAAGATTCTAATGTTCATGGAAGAGAGAGATGTAGTACTAATATTAGTAAAAATAATATGTGAAGAATTTTTTGAAATCTACGAAAATTAAGGAGTGTTGTAAAGCTAAAATCTCACTTTTTTTTTTTGAAAACTTGAGATTTTTACATTTTTATATTGTATAGATTTTAACCTTTCTAAAAATACCTTACTTTAACCTCTAGGGTAATTAGAAGCCCTTAAAACGTATTTTATAACAATCGTTGAAACTGGGCCACGCCTATTTGAATGGCGAAAAATGCTAACAAAGTACTTCGTTTTTGCTTAAGAGTTTAACGTCTGATATAAGCTAAAAACAAGTATCTTTTATTGTAAATTGAGACTTTTATTTTTTTTTTTTTATGTCCTAGCCGATTAGATGTCTCACTACATCCATTAAAATCAATTTATCTCAAAATGTAAATTTTGATGTTCGATGTACCTTTTCTGGGAAACTACTGTTCACGGGTGTGTAAAAATTTTATGATGTATTTATAATGATGGCTAATATATATTGTAATGAGCGTTTTGTAAAAAACTCAGAAATTTAATTTTTACAAATTTTTTATGTGAAAAATGGGTCAAATTTCGCAATGTTTGATAACATATTTTATAAATTATTTAAAAATTCAAAATTAGCTGAAAGCTCATTTCAGTATAATGAGAAAGGTATACTTTAAATGTATGAAAAATTTCAAGAATCTTCATGTAACAGATTTTGAGAAAAGGTACATCGAAAATAGCCAAGTTAACATTGTCAGTATAGAGAGAGAGAGAGAGGTAACTAAAAATGTATTCAGTTTTCTATACAAATATTTCTTCTGTCTTCACTTCATATTAAACATTCAAAAAAGATATCTGGTTAGCATACTTCTAAAATATAAATTATGTATAAATACAGCAAAAGAAATTTGGCTGGAGTTGCCGACAGAGGCATTAAATAATATTTTCAAGCATATAATTTTTTTATTATTTTAAAGCAAAAACGTTGATTAATACGAAGTAAGTTCATGCATAATACATAACACACAGAATTGCGAATCTAGGAAGAGCGAGGAAATTACGGAATTTAACGCTGCCCGTGTTTCGTGAAGTGTGAATGAGATATATTCACAGTTCTAGATTCCTTAACTAATGGGTCCACTGTGACGACAAATTTTTTGTCGTCTCTTGCATTTATTTCCATTTAGTTATCTACTTCAATTAATTTGCATCTACTTGTGTTCGTATATGTGAAGCGTGACACCTTTTGATTTTGTGTTAGATAAAATTTATCAATTACCAAAAGTGTACATGCGCATTTTCGTTCAAAAATAAGTAGAAAATATATTAATTTGGAGTAGTAGTAAAAATATATCTTTTTAATTCATAGATACTTTTTTCCTTTAGTAAAGTATCATTCATTGATATCCTAATGAGCTCAAATCATACTGGTCACATAATAAAGACAAACATGTGTTCTCCATTGAATTCAAAATAGGCATCAAAACAATTGTACTTGTTGTTCTACTTGTAAAACTTGGGTAAAATTACATGTTTTATAATTGGGTAAAAATGCTCAAATTTTTTAACAAATAAATTTCTTCAAAGATTTTAATTTAAAAAAAAAATTCTTATTTTATGCATGTTCTTTCAAATAAAATGCATTTTGTCTACATATGTGGTAAATTATTGTTGTTGACAAATTTGCATTTTTTAAGAGAAATTTTCGGAAAGGATCAAAAGTTGGCAACAACGAAGCACATGAAATGATTAACTGGAAAAACGTGATTGTTTTTATCTTGTGACTATGGTGTCACACGCGAGTTTTTGAACTGATTGGCCCTCTAGAGCCCTGCCCCCCCCCCGCGATGTAGGGGTTGCGAGGGTGTACGTCATGCCTCTGAATTAAGCCCATTGAATCTTACATTAAATATTTATGGTACCGATGTTAAATGAATAGCACACATACGCACACAGATACATACATATATATATATAAACCATAAATATAAATACAGATAGCTATAGAACCTAAGTATAACTATTCAAGATTGGAAATATTAGTCACAGTAGTACAATAACAAATTCCTGGCCTTAGGAACCAAGATTGCAGGTTTAAACAAGTTTTAGGGCTAGCCAAACTTCACCTGTAATTTGCCTATACACTGTGCCAAAGGGAAAGGAAAGAATAATATTAGGAGAAATTTAAATATTACAAATAAAATCACTACACTATTAAAATATAACGATAAAATTATAGCCTACTAGTATTCACAGTTATAGATTTAAAGTCGATGCAATAAGGCAGATTGTAAGACTTACTTCGTGAGTGTATATATATATATATATATAGTACTTCTTCACTTTTATTTTATATATATATATATATATATATTGTTATTATTGTTGGAGTGTCATGATGTGCAGATTGATAAAAAAGATAGAAGCATTAGATCGCTTTGAAGATGTCGAAGACAGCTTCGGCAACTTCTCAAAAACTTTATCACAGAAGATGGAATCTTCTGGATCTTTTGGGCTGATCTTGGAAAGTCTGACTTAAAACGATAGAAAGCTGAGGATATGTTGTGGAGACAGTTTAACTTTAGGACACAGTTTGAGCAATAATTCACGTAACTTCTCTGTCCGTCAGTTGAGATTTTAATTCATTTTGCGTGCTTTGTTCTAAGTCTAGTTATTATGGATGCTATTGTTCGGTTACTATTTAGAGCTGGGATGGAATATTTAAAATTATTGTTGATTAGTCTTCGGCTGACAACTGCATTGGCGTCGATGAGGATCGTGGGGTTAGATGATTGGGGGAAAGCTCTGGATTCTTTGGCAAGTTCATCGGCTTTCTCATTACCGAGGATATTTACGTGGGCTGCTATTCGTTTGTTGTGTGCAGGATCTCTTTTCTGTGATTATTTTGTCGACGGATTGGATGATTTTGTGACTGATTTGGTCTGGATGAATTGTGCAATATATATATATATGATATAAGAATTGGATATTAAATTAATTTACAGATATCTAATGTGGGAACTAATTTCATTTGCAAGATGCTTTTATTTAATAATTAAAATATCTTTCATTTTTCTATCAATATTCCAAGTTTCAAAAGAAAATTACTTTTTTCACAAAACATTTTTTGCATGAAAATTGCATGTTTAAAATCGGAGAGCTTAAGGGGATACAGTGCGAATCAATTAACTGAAATTGGTAAAAAACAATCAGAAATTTTTAGCCTATTTTTTTTTTTATATATATATATTTTTCTATAATCTCACAAAAGTTGAAAACTATAATTTAAAAAAAAACTCAGGGGTAAAAACTTTTATGTTCACAACTGGATAGCAAATAAAAACTTTAAACTGATTTATCTGAGAAAGAAAAAAGAACTAGTTTATCTTCACATTACAAATACTCTATTGGGTCAAATGCTTTGATACTATTGTTATTAATGCTAACTATTGTCATTAATGCGTGTTACAGAACTTGATACGCATTTTTGAATCAAGTCAATAAATAAAAAGGCATTTTTTTAAAAAAATAAATAGTTGGATTTAGAATTTATACATCTCTTGAGGAATTTTGAATAAGCATTCGTATAAAAAGTATTTTACGAATATCAATCCTCTTATCCTAAAATCCATACCAACTTTTGTTGTACGTTGTTTCACATCGTAAATCAAACTTCATGTGAGTATGCCATTTATTATATGAGGAGTAGCATTTTAAAATAACTTCATGGTTTTTTTTTTCTTTTGCTTATTTTTCTTTGAAAAATTAAAGAGTTAACTTTTTGTGGTATTTAGAAATCAAAAACTGTGTTTTACTAACTACATATACATAAGGAGCAACCTAAAAATTTTTGAAAACCATTAAATCGAAGGGTTTTTTTAATAATTCGTATCAAATCCCTTTAAAATAAATAATTAAGAAAATTTTACAATTTCAAGTATTCATTATTAAAGCGCATTCTTTTTATATGTTATTGTGTTGTTGTTTTTGTTACTAATGCCACTTGTCTGACGTTTTCAAATCGAGGCCCACGAGATTCATCGTGACAAAGGTCAAGTTGTACATCTGTCGTTAGCTGTAGCATTAAGCACCATCCAGGTGACAGTACGTTTTGGCTCGGTTCCACCCCCATTTTGAGGGAGAACACCCTGGAGGTGGTCAAGGGCCTCCCACCTCCCCCTTTCACCAACCTCACGAGAGGACTTGCGGCTCGACGGCTATTTAGTGTACCCCCATGCCACAAAGGCACTATACATTTACAAACATCCATGCCTTCTCCGAGATTCGAATCCAGTCCAAATGGCATAGCAGTCAGCGACCAGGTGGTCGACAATTTTTATATTAATAATATCTATGCATAATGATCATCAATATTATTTAATTGATTAACGTGGAAAATATGTATTATACAAAAAAAAAAAAAATATGTGTAATACCTTCTATCTGTAAACTACCTTAATGAGGAAAAGGTTTATACTGTTATAATGATTTTGTGATAAAAAAGCAATGTCTTAAGTTTCATGCTTTTACTTTTCTTATGTTAATACTCATTCTGTAAACAATAATCGTACACAAAAGAAAGAAAAAACATAAATTTTTTTGTTGTCTTCTTTGAATTTATTCCTTTAAATCTGCTTAAAAACAATACTCTGCCTATATATTACGACATCATTACCATTTACATGTTAAGCTTCCGC